TACGAGGGGGTGGGGCATAGTGCACTTTCACCTGCTTCACTAGTTCCGGTTTACAAGTCTCACTCTGGTGAAACCTGTGAACTCTTGTGAAGCTGGAGCAAGCTCGTCGAGCCATCATGGTAAAACCTGTCAACTCAAGAAGGCTATCTAGATGGGTCGACACGTCGATGGGAAGTAGCGAAAGTGCAAAATGCCCCCTCTCTCCCCCTCCGCCGCCAAACTGCTTGTCAATACTAAAAGAAACAAAAAAAGCTCAATAAATCATTATCAAGCTGTGTGAATTTCAGACGGCAGCATCTATTCATCGTCCATTAGCGGTCGACATCTTCCACAGTCCTCAGCTAACATTTGCCCCATTGAAAAATGCCACTGATTATGCTCAACGCTATCGTATGGAGGTATGTACAGGAGTAATGATTTCAATGTTTGTTTTTGTAACGTTTGAATGTTGGGCATCGCTATCGTCGTCGGCGCCGATGTTTATGCGAAAGAAATGATCGTCAATGACGATGCCGTACAAACCCCTTTAGCCTTTCGAAAGCTGAAATGTCAACGACATGTGCTACTTGACATTACTACATTCACAATACGAACATATGTACCTGCGCAAGCGCTGCTCAAATTTTCAAGTGAATGATCTATTTGAAAGAATACTCAGGTTGATTTTCTATATGGTCCATACGCAATTACTCGAAGAATCTTCAATCCATCTTTTTGAAATACACGTTCTCATTTTCTCAATCGAAAAGATTGATTTGACTCATAACTTAAAGGTACGGTCCGCGATCAGGTATAGAAGTTGAAAATATGGTGTTGGGAGGGTAGTGTGGTCCGCGACGAACAACCTTGTACCGGTTTTGCGGCAAAAATTGTAAGGGAGGGGCGCTATAGCGTAATATAGGTTCAGTGACGCCTCCTTTTTTCCAGTGACTCCGCCTCCAGACTCCAGCGCAGTACGGAAAAGCATGAAAATCGTCACTTGTACGGTCGTAGAATTCTTATCTGGCGATGGGATGGGAGCGTACTGTTAGAGATGGAGTTAATTGGGCACGTTAAACTGCTATCGAAATGGGGTTCTATTCAGGGCAGTATGCATTTTTTCTGCTTTTTTCTTCACTATCGAGTTACTCAGAAACTCAGAAACTTGTCGTTTATATGCAGACCTTTAATGCTTTATCTGTGATGGCCACTGATCGCGGGCCTCGCCTTTTAAGACAAATGTACACGCGCCTCCGAGAAAAGTTCTTTCCATGTCCGTGGAGAATGGGTCTTCAGATGCGGTATCTTGCTACTTTCCCGCTCAAAAACCTACGGGAATGGGGCTAGAGCGTAGTGATATGTGGGTGCCATCTCCATCAGGGCACATCATTGGTTTGGGATTTTTGGCGAGCCGTACGACGCCTCCCGCTATGGGGTGGCTTGATACGACCCTACCCACCTAGTTTTCTTCTCTGATACGATCGAGCTGTCTAGCGGGGAGAGAGGGGGGGGGGAGTGGAACACATACAAAACCGCGAAATTCCAACATCAGAGAAGATTTTTCCCAACGCTGCGAATTCCTCTCAGAAGAGGCAAATACGTCTTTCTCTCTCCCAAAAACGATCTAAGAACCCTCTTATAGCGTCAGTGAAACAAGATAAATCAACACTATCAAAATGAATTTTCTCAGACCGAGTAAGGCCCCCCTTCCCAGCGAGCAAATACCCCCTCCCTGTTGGGGAATTCCTCAACGATGATGTGACCTGGTATCCAAACACCGCCCGGGCTATCCTAGGTACAGCATCGTTGTGCGAAACACATGCGGACGGTCGCACATGACCGCTGGGAGGGGGTTATCTGGTCGTTGCTGGGAGAGGGGGGGGGGGTCGTATGTGCCCTTGGAGAGAAATTTTATGCGCTGGAAGAAAATTTTTCCTGATGTTGACTTTTCGCAATTTTTTCCCGTTCCACACTTGCTATATACCCTCCACCCCACCCCTCCTCGACGGTAAATTTTTGGGGAGAAAGGAAGAAAGTAGCAAATTTCCGAAAAATTTCGGAAAAAAAAACTGGTAGGAAGCAGGAAACGTGTAGGAAAGTGGTAGGTAGGTGTTGGGGAAGGGGGGGTTGTACCGAGGCTCTCTCTCAAGGGGGGGGATAATACTGACACCACCATTTTACCTATCACGATGCTGTACCCTGCCTCAAAGTGCAACACTTGTGTCGATTTTACGATTCTACAGCGCAACAGTCCTGAGTACTAAAGAATATTCGGAGGTGACAGGACACACACGAATAGCGCTTGAAGATGGCTAGACCTGTGGCTGGCAGTGCGGCAACTATATAGAGCTGGCACCCAGGTACGGGGCTGGACTACCCTCCAGCCCCGTTCTCAAGCGCTCCTGACCGAAAAAAATTGGCACGCTACTGCGTACCCCTTCACCTCGTTGATGGCAAAGGTTCTCAAGGATCCACGGAGGTGAGTGTGCAGTTCGTCTTAAAGAAAGTCCGCTTCCAAGGTAATACAGTGAATGACTTCATAGAGATACTGTTCATCTACATCACGATTACTTCCTTGGTTCGATTTATTCCCCAGGACGGGACTCTGTGCTTCTGCTCACAATATTCTCACTTCAGTAGCGCTAAGGCCAGGATCAGATCCCATCCATGTCAACTATGCCTTGCATCCCTTCGGACTCGATTTGCTTGGCTAGCTATTAGATTAGTAGATTTGTTAAGGGGTGGAGATGTAATGCGCTGAAACGGGAAAGTCTGCAATCAGAAATAATTTTTCCCAGGCCAAAGTAGGATTCTCCTTTCCTCCAGTGATGGGGACTACTTTGGGAGTGTCGCGATTGTAATCACCAGCATGAATGCTAACGTTGTCATAGCAGAAGAAATGGTATCATCCTCTTGAACGTGTATGTGACAAGAAAATCGTAATTTACCGCTTGCGGTGCTGGCGTCGCGTGCATGCCGCGCCCGCAGACGACGAATCCTTTCAGCTTAGTAGATGGCGACAAACAGGCAATTTTAGAACCGATAATAGTCAGAATGGTCGGCACGATGAACGGGTGCTAAATGGAGTCCGGTGCTCCGCAATCGGTCGGTTTAACACGAGTTACGAAGCGCCGCGCCTATCGCCGCGCGCGGTGGAGCGGCAAATTGAGATTCTAATTCCTGTCTCCTGTCTCCCTTTCTTGACTGGTCATTTCGTCTGTGTGCGTCGCGTAGAATACTTTGTGTGCTTGCGATTCGTTTCCCCCCGCGCCCACTCCTCACCCCCCCCTCCCCCCCAACTTTAAGGCAGGGTTACGACATGAGGGTGAAGTATCCAAACCCTTCCCATTCGGTCATGTGCCGATTTGCAGGAATTTCTGGACGGCGCAGTTTATCGACGGAGGGGGGGGGCATTTTGCTTTCCATAGATGTGTCGACCCATCTAGGTAGCGTTTTCTCGAGTTGACACGTTTTGGGATGGTGGCTAGACGATCCTGCTCCAGCTTTACAAGTGTTCACAAGTTTACACAAAGTGAGATTTGCAAACAGGAACAAGGGAAGCAGTGATGGTACAAAATGCCCCCCCCCCCTCGATAATCAGCGCCTTTTTGGACTAGTGGAGCTACCGAGATCCTTCTAAGCTGAATATTTCGTCTTCCATACTAAAGCTGAGCGGGCAATATTTGTGATTGCTACTCAACAAATTTATATTTCTGGGGCGGAGATGATGTGATGGCAAGTGGCGTTGCTTGTCACGCTTCATGGCTAGGGTACCAAAGATAAAATGTGGCCTCCCCGAAAAGGGGCAACCCAAAAAAAAGGGGGGGGGCCCCACCTTTCAGGTGCGATCACTTGTACCAGAATAACGTCCTGTGAGGGTAAAACGCTGACTGCAACATCGACGGGCCCCTGCAAGTCATCGATTGCATTCAAAATGCATTCTTAGTGAAAGAAGATTGCGTGCTTTATACCAGAGAGTGTTTAAACAGTGCCAAAAACTTTGCCCTTCCTCTGCCTCTGACCTTTGGGGAGCGCTCCGTTAATGGGTGCAGAGGGTCGCAGATGTAACGGCACCTTTCAGGCGTAGCTGCGAGATTGCTCACCCCATTCCCTATCCTAGAAGTCACTTCGCCATGACGACATGTAAAATGTTAAAAATTACTTTATAAACAAGTAAATGTAAATAAGTGTTTGTAATGTGTCATTTACAGTTTTCCGGATTGCGTCGGCCACTTCCACCATTCGTTCATCTGATGACACTTCAACGATGGCATCGCCGAAGTCTTCTGCTTCGACTGGAGCACGTCTTCCAAAATCAAGAAGACGCCGATAACAGCAAACCGATGAGTGTCGAACTGGAGGTGAGTGCTTCAATTTGCATTGGACTCAATCACTACTAATGATGTTCTTCTCAAAAAGTACATATCCGCTGTGAACGGGTGGAGGGGGGGGGTATGGAAAAGGACACTTTGGTCATGGAAGGTGCACGGGACCCTGACCTCAACCTATGTATCTTCTATAGTTGATGTGGTGGCAATCAGTCGGGGCTTTGTAAGGAGGGGCGGGCTAAGCCCACCTCCGGCAGCCCTTTCCCACCAATGGATACGGGTTCGAGATGGAAGAAATGTCAAGGTAGCTCTGCCAGCCCCCTCCCTCCTCTCCAAATCTTCTTCCTTTAGTACGACCCCACCCTCCCCATCCTACCTGCCATCTCCCTAAGATTTCCCATTTTCCTAACATTTTCCTGAAGATTTTCCCAGTTTGTTCCCAAGAAACTATCATCGATTGGGGGAGGGGATGGGGCATATGTATCGCACATGAAACTGGAAAATCGCAGCTCGGATGAAAATTCCTGTCAAGACCCAGATACGCCCCCTCCTATACCTCCCTAACGACCAATCTCGACGTCCCCCATAGTGAGATTCTCCCAAGAATGCGGTACCGTATCTGGACAGCTGGTGTCTTCCACCTTTGTAGTCACAATCTCTGAAAATGTTCACGCAAGGACTCAGTCGTGCAAGTCACACAGCTATCTTAGGCTGATGTGTCGGTTCTCTAGAACCCCTGGGCCGGGGGTTCACGTAGACAGTTATGGTCTCACTTGTAACTGCAAGGGTAAGGTAGAGGCTGAAATGTTATATACTCGAGATCCCTGGGATCGGGTAGGCGTGGCCGCATGTTTCAACTTAACCTGAAGGTGTTTATTGCTCCGTGAGTTAGTTTCACTTGGGCACACAATTGTTGTCGTGTCTCTGTCCAACACAGAACAAGATGACAGTTGTCCCAGACTGGAATATTCCACGAGTAACCAGTTCCGTGCCATGTTCAAATGCCACGCCTACTCTGGCTCAGGGATAAGAGTGTTTACCCCACAGGCACGCCGATCAGCTTGTGATGATCACAACGCGAGGCGCGTCCTTGATTTAGCGTTGTCTGGTCATTGTTGGAAGAGCGTACTGCCGAAGAATCCTACACACAATCTACTATTTCCGATAGTTGAAAATGGTAGTTAAATCACTGACAACCTCCGCCCACCCCCGCCCGTCTAGAGCAATTTTTCGAAAACCAGAAATTTTTTGGGAAATTTCGGAAAAACTGGTAGGAGCGTGGGGAACGTCTGAGAAATTTTCCTGTTTCACATAGGGTACATACCCCTCCGCCAGCCCTCGACGCGTAAGATTTTGGCTGGAAAGTGATTATTTTTTGGGAAAATGGTAGCGAACTGATAGGAAGTTGGGAACGTCTAGGAAGGTGCGTATAGGCTATTCATGCAGCGGAAGGGCCACGGGGTAGTATCTGAGAATGGAATAAGGGAGACCCTATTTTTCGGGAAATGATCACAACGCTATGGCGTGCCCTGCTACCTCAAGCCTGCCTTTAGAGGATTGCTTATTAGAGGACTTTCTTATAATCTGCCACCCCTGTGCGAAGAAAAATTTGTGCACTCAATGAGCAATTTTTTGTTCCACCCCCCCCCCCCCCTCTCCCGCCCTTTCAGATTGTTCATTGAAGCTGAGAACATTAGCAGTGGTTTTCCAAATAGTGATTGGTATTGTCGAAATACTCAATCATTTCAGGACCTGTTCACACAATTCAAGGTGGTAAACATGACAGAGTTGATGCTGGCCGGAAATCGGAACACTACTAAAGTCGCCTCTCAAAGACCCTATCGATATCTTCGTATGTGCTATTACTTGGTAATTTTTCAAGTCCCAACACAACTTCTTTTATTTCAGGTGACTCGACGGTCATACTTAAGCCGTCAGAAATCCGTACCTTCAAGATCGATGTAAAATGGTATTGATGACTATTGATTCGTCAATAAACTACGTCACAGCAGTCATTTGATTAGTACAAATCATGCTGTATCGATCCAATGATCGTGTATGTATCAGTGAAATAAAATTAAAAATTGTCCATGACAAGGCTGCACATCTTTACTTGCATAACAGCGTAATATAACCTAAAATCACTGAGTATCTAGTTCATAAATCGATCAATCGATATACGAGAAAGAAAACATCAAGAAGCAAATCGATAACAGTGAAGAGAAAAAAATCGATGAAAATGGCAATCAACGGCGAGGAGAAATTCTGAATGAAAGTGAATCATTACACCCGGGTGAATTATTATAACAGTAACTATCTTCTCTCAATGATGTACGATTGGGAAGAAGACGTTTCACAACAGTAATAAAGTAGTAATACATGTAATTGCAATAGAGCACACAAACACATACTAGACACACATAGAAATCGACCGGTTTAGCAGTAAAATTTGTAAAAAAAATGACATGAAAATTAGAAGAAAGAAAGAAAATGTCATGTTATGACAGTACCATAAGTAAGGCCTATTCAACGAGTTTTGTATACCTTGACGAAATGCTTGTACATAATGACGAAGGAGCAGGGACGTATGACGTATGGCATATGACTTAAGTAAATCACTAGATCAATAATCGTACAATAAACTGAGGTTTCGTAAAAGCTATCTATCGATTACAGGATTTCAGCGAAGAAGCAATAATGTGACTGGAACGGCCAGCGTGGTAATCCAGGACCAATGAGATGGTGTTAATTGTGTGGCTTGTTCCACGTGCACCACCGTTGGCGTTGATGATGGCGTCGCCAATGTGGTGATTACTGGAAATATAATCAATTTTACTTCTTTGGCCGCTATTTCAGTAAAGTTTTGTTGACGAATGTTTGTTTGTTAACAGTTTCGACAAATGTTCTGCTAACAGTCCTGGATTTACACTGCACTGCGTGTCCCATCGGTTCGAATAAGGGGACCATGGTTCCGCTGTGTAAATCACACGGGGGTCCTATTTGGCCGCTGGAGAGAAGGGGTTATGTTTTGTCGTGAGAAAACTTTCTCTGACTCTTCACTGATTGTTCCCATTTCACGCGCGCTCTACACTTTTCCCTACAGTTAGGCAACATCGTTGTTGGGGATTCCCCAGCAGTGGAGGGATCGCGTTGGTCTGAGAAAAAAACTTTTTTGATAATTCAGTATGTTATATTGTGCCTCACGAGGTTTTTAGGTGGAACTATTTATTTAACGGCCTGACGTTTCGACTAATCGTCTTCTTCCTGTTCACTCGCAAAAGCCGGTGGTCAATTATTGGATCAACTCCACTACTGGTAAACCGTGCCCCTTATCTGTGCGTGTTGGTAAACTGGTAGGTGGACCAACCTGCACATCAGGTAGCTCGCTAGTTATATTGTCTAAATCGCACTCAGAATGCAGCAGCGAATGAAAGTAGACTTCCTGGCGCATTCCAGATAACTTACTAAAGTCAAACGCTTTATATTTTTCTTTCATATTTATGTAAAATACAGAACTCCTAGTTTTGGTAACGTTCTCACGCAGCAGTTCACGCTTTAAAACCTATCACAAGAGTGCTGAGTTATG